AAAAAAAAAAAAAAAAAAGAAAACAGATGCCCTATGCCCTCCCCTAGACCCACAGGGAGACCCGGACCCGCAGGCTGCACAGGGAGACCCGGACCCGCAGACTGAACAGAGAAACCTAGACCCGGGCAGCACAGGGAGATCTAACGGAAGTATAGGGTGATGCTGTGTTAAGGTCATTCTCTGTAATACAGAATTTGTTAGGAAAATGAAATTTATTCTGATAGAAAAGAATGGAATACTACAGCTGGGTGCAGTGGCTCACGCCTGTAATCCCAGCACTTTGGGAGGCCGAGACGGGCGGATCACGAGGTCAAGAGATCGAGACCATCCTGGCTAAGACGGTGAAACTCCGTCTCTACTAAAACTACAAAAAATTAGCCAGGCGAGGTGGTGGGCGCCTGTAGTCCCAGCTACTTGGGAGGTTGAGGCAGGAGAATGGCGTAAACCCGGAGGGGGACCGTGCAGTGAGCTGACATCACACCACTGCACTCCAGCCTGGGCAACAGAGCAAGACTCCGTCTCAAAAAAAAAAAAAAAAAAAAAGGAAGAAAGAATGGAACACTCAGCAACAGAAAGAATGAACTATGGCTACACTCAGCAACCTGGATCAATCTCCAAAGTCAGGCTCAGTGAGCAGCGTCAATCCCCAAAGATGACAGGCACACTTTACACATCAGGATGATGGCAAAGTCTTAGAAACAGACAACAGATGAGTGGTTGCCAGAGAAGGGACAGCAGCAGGGCCGTGACCAGGTACACGAGGGTCCCGGGGGGCGGAAGGCGCTGCAGCGTCATCGGCTCCCTGCCCATACTGGCTGCAATGCCACGTTCCGGCTCTGCAGGTGTGACCTCTGGGGAACCACGTGCCAGGCACAAGGGATCCGAGTCTTACCTCTTACAACTGTGTGTGAATCCACTATTAATTTTTTAAAAGACTAAATGAACCTACTAGAGCTTCCTCAGACAAGAGAAAGCAGATAGCTGCAGCCCAAGCTAGAGCAAGAAAAGCGAGTGGGCGGCAGGACAGTCCCAGCGAGCGCAGGGGAGCCTGGGCGCCCGCACAGGGCGTGCCCATCTCTGTGACGCCTACTCACCTCTCCATCCAGCGGCGCCTGCTGCCGAGTTCACGTACATGGAAGGCAAAAATTTTAAGAAAGTTAAAGCTTAAAAACACAGTAAAAGACAGCAACCAGTGGCACTGCACGCTGTGCTGACTCACCTGGCTGTCGTGAGGGCCCCAGGGCTGTGGCTTGGCCACCTGGCGGAGCTGCCCCTCCAGCCTCTGAATCTCTTGCTGGAACTCCTCACGTTCGTGCTCCCGCTCGGCGGCCTGCTCCTGGGAGGAGAGGCGGCGTGTTGGGACCACCCCAACGGGGCCGGCGTGCCCCTCGCAGCGAAGGCCCACCCAGGCTTCCACTGCACGTGCAAGTACAACCGCCTAGCAGCTCAGGACTCCAAATATCCCCCTCATCACAGTCACTTTGCAAAATGGAGTTAAGAAAACAGCCCTCTGCGTGGAACACAGAGGAACGTCCGAGACGGGTGGGTGGAAGGACAAGAGCCAGTGAGAGTCGCAGCACAGGCCCAGCCTGGGCCCCAAGGGATGCCTCCGGGACTGTGAGAAGGAGCATGGCAAGACCATGGGAGGCGGCCCTCAGAGGCCTGTGCCACAAAATGTGGGCAAGAAGACACCCACCAAGCGTCAGTGACCTGGGTACACCTGTGCAGCAGGGGTGGGACGCCCTCTTCAACATCCTACTGCAGAAGCTTACGTAACCATCTGGAAAGTTCATGCTGTAATGGCAACTTTTAGTGATGCAATAAAATGTATTATTCAGAATTCTTACATCCATGAATTGCCGCTGGTTGCGCAAATGCTTGTCCAGAGACGCCACCTGCTGTTCCAGGGCGGTGACGGCCTCCGCCTGCTTGGCACACCCGCGATGCTGAGACAGCTGTTCCTCTAACTCAGACTCCAAAATCTTCATCTGGGAGAGCAGGGCTGAGCGGTCCTTCTCGGCCTGCTTCCTGGTCTCCGACTGTTCTCTGGTCAGATCCTCCACTTCCTTCCGGAGAGCTAAGGATGCAAACACCACAGACACAGGGAAACCCCCGCACCTCAGAGGCTGGCGCTGTACTGAGAGGGAACACGACACGTGCACCTCCTGATGGTGACTCAGTCAAAGCCCACCGAAAATGAAGTCCCATGACTTAGGGGTAAAAAGCCCATCTTTTAAAACAAAATTGGCTAAATTTTTGAGGCCTGAGAAGAATACTTCTGAGTGACACGTGGGTGATTCTCTAGGAATTCTGTCTTCACTACACCCTCCCAGACAGAAACACACGACTAAGCCCAGTCCCAGGAGACGATGGACAGTGCTGAGTGACGTGTCTACGGGAAAGGCAAACGTCTCATCGGTAAATCAAAAGCGAATCTAGATCGGGTGGGGTGGCTCATGCCTGTAATCCCAGCACTTTGGGAGGCCGAGGCGGATGGATCACTCGAGGTCAGGAGTTCGAGACCAGCCTGGCCACCATGGTGAAACCCCGTCTCTACTAAAAATACAAAATCAGCCAGACATGGTGGCGCACGCCTGTAATCCCAGCTACTCGGGAGGCTGAGGCAGGAGAATCACTTGAGTCCGGGAGATGGAGGTTGCAGTGAGGTGAGATTGCGCTGCTGCACTCTGGCCTAGGTGACAAAGTGAGACTCCTTCAAATAAATAAATAAATAAATAAACAAACAAACTGGGTACCACAGTTTAAATTTCTGTCCCCTCCAAAATTCACGTTGAAATTTAACTGCCAGAGTGATGGTATTGGAGGGGCCTTGAAAAGGTGATGAGGCCGCAAGGGCTCCACCCTCACAGCAGTTTTAATGCCTCAATAAGCGGCTTTGGGAGTGGCCGTCCCCCTTGGCCCTTCTGCCTCTGCCCTGTGAGGATCCCGCCCTCCATTCTGGAAGATTCAGTGTGCAAGGCTCTGCCTTAAAAGCAGAGACTGGTACCTCACTAGACACCGAACCTGCTGGCACCTTGACCTTAGGCTTCCCAGCCTCCAGAACTGTGAGCCACCAATGTGTGTCTGTGATAAATCGCCTAGCCTCAAAAATACTCTTCTAGCAGCACAACCAGCCTAAGACCTGGGGTGGGGAAGCCCTGGCCCAAGTGGAAACTGCAGAGGAAAAAGTATCTTGGAAAAAGGGGCTCTCTGCTGCTGAATCCCGAAGTCTCTCTTTTATTAACCTTATTTTTGAGGTGGAGTCTGGCTCTGGGATTACAGGTGTGAGCTACCACTCCCGGCCTGAATCCTGGCGTCTTCAAGCCATCCAAAAACTAAAATATTAAATTCATTCATGTTAACTGACATTTCACCAGCTTCCAAAAAGCATTTTGATTTGTAAAATTGTTAGTCTTTTATCACAAACTATCATGACCAATGCAAGCAACATTCTCAATAAATGTTCACGCCACTGTCAGCAGTAATGGCGACTCTGCTATAAACATGCTGCTGCGGTAATGCCATTCACAGCCCAAGACGCGCGGCGCGGCCTGAGGGCAGCTGCTCCCCCCACTGCAATCCCTTGCCCTGGACACGACCCGGGCTCTGCTTGGCCCAGAACATCACCATTTTCAGGGCCAAGGGCGCTGGGCCACACACTGGGGCAGGGTGCCTGCTGACACGCACGCAGACTCAGGGAGGCACGGGAGGATCGCAATCCCAGCTGGCGGAGCAGGTGATACCACGCTGAGCAGGCACAGGGGATGTGGTGGGCCCAGGCCTTCCTGCAGACCAGAGCAGGGACCCAGCCCAAGAACAGCTACAACTATCACAAGGCATCAGTTCCTGAAAAGCAGCACAAACTGTAGCTTAGGCACTGCAGTAACCACCGTTAGAGAAATGCTCCTGCTTTGCTGGGGCATTAAAATGGGACAACTCCACCCATTTGTATGAATGTTGAAGATTAGAGTTTCGCTGTATTTACTGTTTGCCACAGAAGTTCTGAAGGACTTTTCTTTAGTAAATAATTTGCAAAATCCAATGCAAACACACAGCACATCACACAGAAATCACTCGTTTGTCTTTACAAACCTGAGTCCTTGTGTGCTGCAGTGACAGCTGTGCCTACGAACAAGAGTTTGCATTTACTGGTGGAAACGGAAACGTGCAGCTGAGAATATGAGAGCTAGAACCAGTGACGGCAGCGTCAGCAGCAGGGCTCCGAGCAACGCTGCTGGCCTTGAACAATCTCCAGACTCAGCGTCCACCATGCCCACAATGCCTGTGTGGCTGCAGGCCCATCGACTTTTCAAGCAGACAAAGAGAACAAAAGGGACAGACGGCAACACCTGAAGAGGGCCACAAAACACCACACAGCGAAGGGGGCATCACACAACATGGCGAGGCAGGGCTGCTGTGCACAAGGGCTGAGTTCACGCCACTGTCAGAGCCTAGGCCCTGCCGGGAGCTCAGGGCTGTGGTGGGTATGCCGGTAGCCGGCGCAGAGTCACACAACTGCAGAACCAGGGTGAAAGGAAAGAAAATAAACCAGAGTGAGAAACTAGGGCAGGGTTAACAACGTCAACATGAAAGGAAACCAAGAGGACCCCAGAGAAACAACAAGAATTTCCCAGTGACAAAACAAAGTTGGCCTGAGCCTGTGAAAGGGCTCCATGAGATCCACTCCCAGCATGCCAGGTGCCTACCACTGCAGGGCCCATGGTGAGCCTCAGCTTCAATCCTGGGGTCTGCAGGGAGCCCAGCCAGGCTGTGGACACCCAGGGCCCACATCCACCTGTCCCAACACTCCCTGGTGGGCCAGAACTCGTGGCAGGAGGTGAACCAGAGGCAAAGCAGCAGAGGGGCCACCATAGCCTTGGGAAGAAGCCCCACGGTGCTCAGTCCATATGCTCAGGCCCAGGGCACAACACAGGCACCTGACACAAGGGCGCTGGCCACAGGGCCCAGGCCTCACTGGGCCGTTCAACAGTATGCAGGCCACACACCCCTTTATCTGCCAGGAGGCCTGACAAACGAGGTGACTGGCTGAAGTCCAAGGGCTCGAAGCAGTGAAACACCAGGTGGTCTCCCCTGGTGGAGTACGGCCCAGCTGCCAGCTGGCTGGGCACGAAGACACTGGAAATGGGGCAACAGAGTTCACAGGGAGGGGCCTGACCATGAGGCTGCCCCCGGACAGCAGAGGGTAAGCAGAGAAAGCATCGTGAGAAACAGTGACAATGGACGCCCAGATGCAACAGCACTGCCAGGGCAGAGATGCAGGCCCTCGATGCCGAGAGTAACGCATGACATCAGACACGTTCCTGAAAACACCCTGAAAAATCCTGAGGAGATGCAGGAAAACGAAGGCCTCAAAGGAAAAGAAACGGGATCTTGAGTCGTGTCTCCAGCACCACTTCACTGGCAGAGGAGGGGACCTGAAGAGACTCCAGGCCCTCGTGGTCCTCAAGGTTCCCCTGCACTCCCTCTGTGGACACAAAGACCGCAGGGGCAACAGGGCTGAGAGGCCCATGGGGAGATGACACTGACCTGAGCCCAGCAGCAGCCAACACCGCAGTGAGGACTTCACAGCTGGCCAAGGAAAATCCAGCCTGGAGCAAGGTCAAGCAGGCCAAGCAGGCAGGCGAAAAGGAAACACAAAGAGCAGCAGGAAGGGCCCAATGCCAGCAGGTGTGGCAAAAAAAAAAAAATTGGCTAAATGGACCAAAAGAAGATACTCACACATAGGCTTTTTTAAAAAGAGTCATGAATATGGTATCCATACAAGGCACAACTAAAACAGAATGTTAAAAAAGACTTAAAATAAAAGGACAAGAAAAGATACACAAGGGGAAAAACACCAGACTAATCCTTCACCATCAGAAATTTATATAAAAAATAGAAACAGGATAAATGGGAATGACAGAAATAAACCAAGAAAAGGAGAAGACAAAGTGTGGGCACAATCACAGGCACAGTTTAAAACATCCCACCGGACCAACGTTTTCCACCTGGAAAACGCTCCCTGGGCCAAAAATTACAAGCTTGTGGGACCCAGATGTCAACATGAGCACCACAGGTGAAAAGGCTGGGGCACCGCCAGGAGGCACGACCTGAACCCCACGTGCTGTGAAAGGCAGCAAACGTGTCCGAGAGCGTCCAACCCAACGAAGGCAGCAAGAAACCATAAGAGCTGGCCGGGCACCGGGGCTCACGGCTGTGATCCCAGCACCATAGGAGGCCAAGACAGGCAGATCACTTGAAGTCAGGAGTTCGAGACCAGCCTGGTTAACATGGTGAAACCCCATCTCTACCAAAAACATAAAAAATTAGTCAGGTGTGGTGGTGCGCACCTGTAATCCCAGCTACTTGGGAGGCTGAGGCAGGAGAATCACTCGAACCCATGAGGCAGAGGTTGCAGTGAGCTGAGATCATGCCACTGCACTCCAGCCTGGGGACAGAGCGAGACTCCGTCTCAAAAAAAAAAAAAAAGAAAAAAAGAAACCATAGGAACAAGAAATCACAGGAATGAGGGCAAAAATCAGTGAGACAGAAGACAGCAAATGAGAATGGACACCAAAATCAAACGTTGGTTGTTTTCTAAAGAGAAAAATGTAAATAATAATAATAATAAAAAAAGAGATTTCTGAATCGGCTGAGGTGGTGCCTGCGATGCCCCAGCTTCTAACTCCAATCTGTGTTCTGAAGGGACGACCCCGAGGCCACAGCCATCCTAGAAGGAACTTTGGAGAAGCGCAGGCCCCTCTGCCTCCCACGTGCCTGAGATCCACGAATGCAAGGCGTCTGCAAGGTGGCAGAGTGGGCATGTGGGCGGCGGGGCCAGCTCGGTGTGAGCTGGAAGGGCATGGGGAGAAAGCAAGAGTCAGAGGCAGCAACCGGGGAGGCAAGGAACAGGGACTGAGGGCGGACGCCCCAGCCCCGTGAAAAGCCTTTGCTCGAGCTGAACCAGCTGCTGAGGACACAGTTACCGTGCAGGCTCGAGACTTTAAGCTTATGTTTTGACCATTTTCATTTTAAATACCTTTGAGAACAAAATATCTAAAAATCCAAAAAGATACAAACTAATACTGTTAAAACTATGTTTTCCCAATAAGGATTAATGTCAGGCACTTGGTTATTTTAAACGAAATCTTAAAGTAGCTCTTGTTTGCCGCACTTGGCTCTGCCTCCAGCCCCTGCTGCTGAACTCAGAACTCCTCTTATTTCCACCTCACAGAGGTGGGGACCCTCCAACCAACAGGACCAACAGACAACCCGCCTTCTCTGAAAGTGTAGCAAAGCCAGTGGATGCCTCACCTGATCCCGCACAAGCTTCCCATGCCCAACATTCCATGAGAAGCTACGTGCTGGTTTACACTTGACCCTCTAGAGACACTGAGCGTCCCTGGGAGCTGGGGAAACCGTGGCAGCTGTATCGCGTTCCACAGCTTGAACCGACCTCCATATCCCGCACTCCTTACCAGCTTCTCTGGCCTCGGCGTCCATGGCTGTGGCCTCCCCCCGGCTCCACAGACGGGTGCACTCCTCCCTCAGCACTGCCTGCTCCTGGGCCGCCTGCTGCAGCTGCCGTCTCAGACTCTCTAGCTCCAGGACCAGACGGTGCTCGGAATCCTCCTTCCCGGCCAGCGTCTCCTTCAGATCCGCTGTCTCCACCTTGAATCCCTCGAGGGTGCCTTTGTGGGAGACACAGATACCCTGACAAAGCCAGTCCCGGGTGCAACTGAGGACAGCTCGGAGGGAGGGGCAGGGCCTGCTCGGAGGGAGGGACGGGGCTGCTGTCCCCGAGAGCAGCAGAGCTAAGAGCCAGCAGCTTCCAGGACCCAGCTCTAGGCCCCCAACAGCCCTGCTGGCCACAGCAGCTCCCGACCACCCCGTTCCTCCCAAACCATGGGTGCCTCCCACTGTTGGCTTTGTTTTTACATTTCACTGTAAAACCCTATCCCGAAGGCTTCCTTTCTTCGGTGAGGCCAGGCCTGCTCCCCGTTCCTGTGCTCCAGGTGCCCCGAGGCCTCGTGCTGCTCACCCTGCGTCTTGTGCAGCTCCAGCGCCAGCTCTGCCTTTGCTGCACTCTCCTCCTTCAAGCACTCCAGCAGCTCCTGGTGCTTCCTGACAACCTGTGCTGTCTCCTCATTTTTAAAACTAAATTCTTTTTCAAAACGAGAATGAATTTGTCGTGCTTCTTCCAGCTGTTAAAACACATTTGCAAATCAAAACTCCAGATCAAAAATAGCATTTCTGATCTCGATGTAAGGCTACATTAAGACCAACAAAACGCCACTTCTACCCCCAGACCCTTCGGGCCGTCACCACCCAGGCAGGGCCACGCCAGGGTGATGGGACCTGAGCGCATCTCAGCCACCCTCCAAGACACTGTGGCCACGGTCTCCAATGAGCACTTCTCCCCGGCCTCCCAGCTCAGCCCTGGGCCCCTCTCCCTTCCTCCAGACACTCCCCTGGCGACTGTGTCCAGTCTGGGGCTCCCAGGCCATCTACAGGCTAAGAGACCCAGAATCACCTCTGAACTCAAAACTTAGCACAGAAGAATTTTTTTTTTTTAAGATAGGGTCTTGCTCTGTCACTCAGGCTGGAGTGCACTGGTGCAATCATGGGTCACTGCAGCCTCAGCCTCCTGAGGAGCTGGGATTGCAGATGCTGCCACTATGCCTGGCTAACTTAAAGTGGGGTCTCACTATGTCGCCCAGGCTGGCTCCAACTCCTGGGCTCAAGTGAACCTCCTACCTCAGCCTCCCAAAGTGCTGGGACCACAGGGCTGAGCCGCTGTGCCCGGCCGAAGAAAGGATCTTTGACTGCTTTCCACGTATTCCTATTTAACACCTTTTTTAATTGTCTAAAATGTTCTAAAAGGGTTTAAAATTTTCCTCTCTTAGTGATAATCTCTAATATGAAAACGCTCCACGTGGAACTGCAATAGTGCAGGAAGTAAAGGAGATGGGCCTGTTTATCATCCAAATTAAACAAACAGATTCTCTCATCCGTAGCAAGCCCACTTCCTCAAGGATCTGGTTTAGAAAAGCCTCCTCCCTGGGGAGAAACCCGTGTGAGTGTGGTTGGCACTGGCATCCACCAGGCTCGTGTGGCATCATCAGCTACTCGTTGTTCACTTCTCCACAGGACCCCGGGAGCCTGGGCCTCACCTGCCTGCTGGAGTCCAGGGCCATCTCCAAGAGGCCGTCCACGGCCAGGCTGAGGCTCTGGAAGACCCTCCGGATGGGCTGCTCACATTCCCGCACGCTTTCTGGGCTCATGAGAAAGCTTTCACGCATGTGGCTGCTAATTTCAGCCGCAGAAGACATCTCTGCACATTCAGACAAAGTTCTGTCCAGCTCTGGGAGGGCGACATCAGACCACGTCTCCTCCAGCGCCGGAGCTACAAGAAGAGCAGACGCCGGCGCACGCGGCTCAGCGAGCAAGCTGGCCGCAACCACGGCAGCCACGACGATACGGAAGCCACAGAACTCAGAACGTCGCCCTTGTGGAGACGAGACAGCGCCACGTCCACAGGAGCTGGCAAATTGAGCCCAGACCCCAGTCTCGGCCTTCTGTAAGTGCGGGAACTAGCAGGAAACCAGGACAGCAGCGCTCCCGAGAGCATCGCCCAATACAGAGGCTCCTCTCAGAGAGCTCCAGGCCCGCAGAGGGCCTCAAGCACAGGGCTGGGTGGCTGGTCCCAGCACACTCACCTGCCGACAGGGCCAGGCCTGCGCCCGCGTCATCCAGGCAGAGCCCCACGCGCTCCCCGATACGGCTCCTCAGGGCGATGGCTGCTCTCAGCGTCTCTCCAAACAAACCCAGCAACCTGCGCAGGGCGTCCTGGAGGGCCCCTCTGAGACAGGAAACATCCATCATCAGGCAAGCCGGTCACAGCGTGAGAACCCCCACCCTGAATGCTGCTGAGGGGCTGCCCACCAGTTTGCACACCTCAGCCCACGGCCGCCTGTCCCCATGGGGCCGGAAGACATGATCCTCATGCCTGTGTGAGCACAGGAAACTGAGGCCACAGACAAGACAACCACATGGAGCCCATTCAGGGACACGGGCTTCCTAGGTGAGGTCTTCCTGATGCCATTTCTGATTTGTAAAAGGCATCATATTAGGAAGACAGCAAACCCATCCTGCAGGTGTGCAATGTGGCCACACAGCGTGAATCACCCAGGAGCAGAACACAGGCTCTGTCTCTCCCCTGGGGCACAGGCTGCACCAGTCGGCCATTTTACAAGATGTCTGTCCAACACCAAGTCACGCCTCAGCCACACGTTCACAGGAGTAGCGTGGCAGGAGGAGCATGGTGTCTCCCAGCCTCTCTCTAGGCCTCGTGGACACGCAGTCTGGGATGCTTCTGTTTTTTTTGTTTTTTTTTTTTTTTTTGAGACGGAGTCTCACTCTGTTGCCCAGGCTGCAGTGCAGTGGCACGATCTCGGCTCACTGCAAGCTCCGCCTCCCGGGTTCACGCCATTCTCCTGTCTCAGCCTCCTGAGTAGCTGGGATTACAGGCGCCCGCCACCACGCTGGGCTAATTTTTTGTATTTTTAGTAGAGACGGGATTTCACCGTGTTAGCCAGGATGGTCTCGATCTCCTGACCTCGTGATCCGCCCACCTCGGCCTCCCAAAGTGCTGGGATTACAGACGTGAGCCACCGCACCCGGCCGGGATGCTTCTGTTTTTACACACAGGGGTTCCTGAGGCCACAGGCCCCTCTACACCTCGCTCTCTGCACTATGGTTTAGGGGCAGCCCTCCCCACTGTGACACCGCTAAGGACAGACACACTGACCCGGTGCCTACACAGCCAGCCCGCCCTCTACTCTGTTCACAGCTCTGTCCCCAGAGAGCCCTACCCTGTGGAGCAGATCATGAGGACTCATTCGTGGGGACTGTGAGGTGAGAACAGGAGGCAACATCGTGCAGGCCCCAAGGAACCTGGGACTCTGGGCAAATAACAGGGAGGGGGAGTCCTGAGGAGGGGCTTGACAGAGAGAATGCCACCTGCTCCCCGGCACACTTCCACCCCCCAAAATGCCCAATTCCTGCAGGCATCAGGGAGTCTGCAGCCACCCCACCTCAGGACAGGCAGCCTCTCCAGTGTCCAGGGACCGCGGGCTCACCTCTGCGCCCCTCATGTTTAGAGCCTGGGGCTGCCCCGCCCACCACCCACCTCTGCACCCCTCGAGTTCAGAGCACAGGTCGCCCCACTGGCCTCTGTGCCCCTCGGTTTAGAGCCCTCGCTCGTCCACTGACCCGGGTGACTTGAGAGTCAGCACCAAGCTACGAGGCACCCACAGCCAACTGCTAGAGAAGGCAAGGTCCTCACAGAAAAATCACAAAACTTGATGAAAAGAACAAAGAGAGACCTGCACAGACGGACAGCCCCTCAGCATGACAAACACTAATGCTCCTGAAACAGCTGTAAGCTCAGAGGGTCCCGTCAGCCCGACCAGGTCTCCCGACCCTGGGTGGTCTCCAGAGCAAAGCCAAACCAGTCCAGAGCTTCAGGACACAGCAGCACAACCCAGAGGCCTCAGGTGGGGACACAGACAGGAGCAGCGGCAGGACCCAGAGGCTTCGGATGGGGACAAACAGATGGGGGGAGCAGCAGGACACAGAGGCCTTAGGCAGGGACACGCCAATGGGAGCAGCCAAAGACCCACACAAGTGGACAGGGAGGACGTGCACCCGAGGGGAGGCTGTGTTTGCCAACACGTTGCTGAGTCCACTGCCCAGACAGGTGCAAGCAAGAACAACAGAAGAGCTGCAGGCTCACCCCAGAGTCACACAAAAGCAAAACTTAAAACCCTGTGAGATGACCTGGGAAAAACCTACATGGTGTCAGAGGAGCAAACAGTTTCTCAAGACCCCAAACAAGATAAAAAGGCAGTCGAGCCTGTGGGACAGCATCACTGCAGGTGAGGAGGCACCAAGGCGGGCTGCGGCCCGAAACCGTGCGCTCAGGGGAAGCGACCCGTGGTAAGCAGACCCACAACCCGCCCTGGGAGAGCCCTTGGGACGGTGCTCCCTAGGCACCGGCTCCCAGCAAAGAAAGGAATGGACAGGGCTACGGCCCCTGCTCGGGCCAGTCTCAGAAACACGCGTGACAGAGAGAGACGCATGAGGCATGACACTCGCACACAGTCCAAAGCACAGGAACCACGAGACATGTGGGCCTGCACCCCACACCGGGGACGAGGACACACTGCAGGGACGCGGACACCAAAGGGGAGGGGTCGGGCTGTGTGTGGGAGATAATGGCTGGTTTTAATCTGGCCAGATGAGGAGATGAGACACAGCAGGCAGGGTGGGAGGAGGGAATGGGGGCTGGGAGATGAGACACAGCACGTGAGTTCTTCCCAGTGCTTACAATCTTTCTAAGTGAGAGGAAGAAGGAAGCCGGGTCCCTGTCCACCAGGAGCCAGTGTACACGGTGGCACCAGTCACGCAGTCAGGAGACGTGGAGACCAATGGCATCCGCATGACCCAGTGGGTGCTGGCAGCCACAAGGCAGCCTTGGTGCCAAAGACACACTGACCTTTCGCTGTGGGACAGGTCGACGTCAGCCTTGAGCATGGAGAGGAGGTTTGCGCCTTCTCGGTTCTCCCGCTCCCGCCTCTGCTGCAGCGCCTCCAGCTCAGAGCGGCACTCTTCTATCTCGTGACTTAAGGATAAAACCTGGTCTTTCAGCTATTGGGAAAAATGGTTAAAGCTTTAGTTAAAACAATTTGGTTAAAAGTAAATGGCTGTAAGGAACTTTCAACATAATTTCCCTATTCAAGAGTCTGACTTAGGACTTTGGCGACGGGGCGAAAGCACTTCGGCACGTTCCTCAACTCATAGCGCCTTCGACTGACAGCGGTCGAGGCGTGGCCCCAGCACAGGCCGAGGACCATCTGCAAATTTAATAAAAATACAGCAAAGGTGAACGAGGTGGTGATTAAAGATGAAAATTATTGATATGGTTTTTCCTCCATTATTAATCATTTACAAAAGAATACACAAACATCTCCAGGTGGAACCTGAGGCAAGGGGAGGGAAGGGGCCAGTTCATCAGAGATCCACCGCTCAAACAGCAATTTGAAATAAGTCACTGTATTTGGTCATTCACAAAAGTCAGTTGCCGGGCAGGCAAAGATCTCTTTTTCTGAGACAGGGTCTCACTCTGCTGCCCAGGCTGGAGTGCAGTGGCACAATCACAGCTCACTGTAGCCTCAATCTCCAAGGCACAAACAATCCTCCCACTTCAGCTTCTTGAGAAGCTGGGGCTACAGGCGCGTGCCACCACACATGGCTAATTTTTTTATTTTTTGTAGAGACAGGATCTCCCTATATTGCCGGGGCTGGTATCGAATTCCTGGGCTGGAGTGGTCCTCCTGTCTCAGACTCCCGAAGTGCCGGGATTACAAGTGTGAGCCATGGTGCCAAGGGAGGGCGAATGGGGAGTGAGAGTCTAATGGGAACAGAATTCAGTTTTGCAAGATGAAGACTTCTGGAGATGGATGGTGGTGATGGCTGCACAACACTGTGAATGCGCTTCCGCCACTGAATACACAACACCGTGAACGCACTTCCGCTACTGAATAAGCACAACACCATGAACACGCTTCCATCACTGAATGCACAACACCGTGAATGCACTTCCGCCACTGAATGCACAACACCGTGAATGCACTTCCGCCACTGAATGCACAACACCGTGAATGCACTTCTGCCACTGAATGCACACCACAAATGCACTTCCGCCACTGAATGCACAACACCGTGAATGCGCTTCCGCCACTGAATGCACAACACCGTGAATGCGCTTCCGCCACTGAATGCACGACACCGTGAATGCACTTCCGCCACTGAGTAAGCACAACACCGTGAATGCGCTTCTGCCACTGAATAAGCACAACACCGTGAATGCGCTTCTCCCACTGAATGCACAACACCGTGAATGCGCTTCCGCCACTAAATGCACAACACCGTGAATGCACTTCCACCACTGAGTAAGCACAACACCGTGAATGCGCTTCTGCCACTGAATAAGCACAACACCGTGAATGCGCTTTTGCCACTGAATGCACAACACCGTGCATGCGCTTCTGCCACTGAATAAGCACAACACCGTGAATGTGCTTCTGCCACTGAATGCACAACACCGTGAATGCGCTTCCGCCACTGAATAAGCACAACACCATGAATGTGCTTCCGCCACTGAATAAGCACACCGTGAATGCGCTTCTGCCACTGAATGGACAACACCGTGAATGCGCTTCCGCCACTGAATAAGCACACCGTGAATGCACTTCTGCCACTGAATGCACAACACCGTGAATGCGCTTCCAACCACTGAATAAGCACACTGTGAATGCACTTCTGTCACTAGATCCCCAACATCGTGAATGCGCTTCTGCCACTGAATGCACAACACTGTGAACGCGCTTGTCACTGAATGTACAACACCGTGAATGCGCTTCCGCCACAGAATAAGCACAACACTGTGAATGCACTTCCGCCACTGAATAAGCACAACACCGTGAATGCGCTTCCGCCACTGAATGAACAACACCGTGAATGCACTTCTGCCACTGAATAAGCACAACACCGTGAATGCGCTTCTGTCACTGAATGCACAACACTGTAAATGTACAACACCATGAATGCACTTCTGCCACTGAACTACGCACTGAAATAAGATGAAAATGATTTTTATGCTATACACATCTTATCACAAGGGAAAGGCACACTCCACACACCTGCTGGACTTGGTGATTCTTCTTCTGAAGCTGCAGAGACAAAGACTCTTTCTCCTCTTGGTGAAAAGGCTGTGCCTGCGCACTCTGTAGCCAAAGTGTCTTCTCTTTTTCATGCAAAGCAGCTTTCTTTTCACTTCCAAATTCACCCTGTACACATCAATAACAATAAAAAATACCAGTAAGTTACAAAAATACATTCTCTGCTGTTAGCTAGAATTCAGCACACTCAGCAGATATGCACGGAGCCCCTACTCTGCACCAAGAGCCGTGATGAGCCAGACCACGGCCCCCGTCACACAAAACTTGGGTTCAAGGACTTCACTGGGAACACGAAGTCCTGGTTTTGGGGATAAAACACTTAAGGAGACACAAGTTTGCACTGGTGACAGCTGCGTGTCATGAGCAACTGCTCACTACCATTCCCAAATGGCTCCTGTAACATCTTTAAGAGTCACACTAAGAAGTTCACCATCAAGAGATTACAGCCATGAAAATCCAAGATATTTGGAAACCTAGGTTTCTTCCCTTTTAAAAGATTAAACTTTCTTTCTTTCTGAATAACAAAAACTTTTAAATAAGGCTCAATAGATGAATTAAATTATGTATCTCTATTTATCTACCTACCTACCTACCTACCTTGAAGGACTCTTCTCTGTCACCCAGGCTGGAGTGCAGTGGCGTGATCTCAGCTCACTGCAACCTCTGCCTCCCAGGTTCACAGGATTCTCTCGCCTCAGTCTCCCGAGTAGCTGGGATTATAGGCGCCTGCCACCACACCCAACTAATTTTTGTAATTTTTCTTTTAGTAGAAACAGGGTTTCCACTAAAACCTGTTGGCCAGGCTAGTCTCGAACTCCTGACCTCAAGTGATCTGCCCACATTGGCCTCCAAAAGTGCTGGGATTACAGGTGTGAGCCACTGCACGTGGCCAATTAAATTAATGAAATAAGCTTATTTTTTTAAACCTACATGGCCGGGCGCGGTGGCTCAAGCCTGTAATCCCAGCACTTTGGGAGGCCGAGACGGGCGGATCACGAGGTCAGGAGATCGAGACTAGCCTGGCTAACACAGTGAAACCCCGTCTCTACTAAAAAAATACAAAAAACTAGCCGGGCGAGGTGGCGGGCGCCTGTAGTCCCAGCTACTGGGGAGGCTGAGGCGGGAGAATGGCGTAGACCTGGGAGGCGGAGCTTGCAGTGAGCTGAGATCCGGCCACTGCACTCCAGCCTGGGCGACAGAGCGAGACTCTGTCTCAAAAAAAAAAAAAAAAAAAAACCTACAGAGGTAGCACTTCTAGAATGGCAAAATAGGACCTCCAAAATCTGTTCCTCTATAAAAGCAAAAGTGGTAAAAACCATCAAAACCAATGTTTTCAGAGCTGTGGTAAAAACCATCAAAACCAATGTTTTCAGAGCTGTGGTAAAAACCATCAAAACCAACGTTTTCAGAGCTGTGGAAATCTGGTCAGGGTTGCAATCAGAGGAGTTTGTTTGTGGAAAACACAGGCTGAGCGTCCATCAGAACAAACTTCGGGTGCTTAACTTTGCCCTGACCCCATATCTCCTCTCCAATCTAACAGCCCTGAAAACTAGTAGTTGCTGGTGTTGGGTGGGGGACAGAATGGATTTGGAATACCCCAAAACTTCCATGCACAACTGCCCGAGCCCACCGGCCGGGCAACTCGCTGCCGTGACTGGGTCAGAGCTCTCGAGGTCAGAAATTCCACCCCAGGGCATTGGCTGGAAACAGTCAGTGGCAAGTGTTTAATAGCTGCAGCTGCCCACAGTAGAGAAACTAGTTGGGACTAATAAGGGGCTGCTGGAAAACTAAAGAAAACATTTGAGAATGAGACGTCCACAGGGGGCTCTGAAAAGCTCTGACATCTTTTGGGACTCTACGAGGTGTGAACACGCACAGGGCTGTGCCCACACCGGAAAGGCCCAAGAGGCCCTGGGCTGGCTGTAGTGACCATGTGGCTCGGCACAGCAGGGGTGAAGGCCAGGGCCAGGCTGTCCACCGCCCACCAGAGCCCAGAGGGCACAACACACACAGGGCCCTCAGCAGAGAGAAAGACTGAAATAGAGCTCCCTTGACATCTGGAGCTGAAAAGTACAATCACTGAAAAAAAAAATTCACTAGAGCGAGGCTCAGCAGCAGACTCGAGCAGGCAGAAGACAGAAATCACACGCTGGAAGATAGGTCAATTAAGATGATCCAGTCAGGGAACAGAAAGAAACATGAAGAAAACTCAGCAGAGTCTCCAAGGCCTGTGGGGTACCCTCAAGCCAGACAGAGGAAGAGAAACGGGCAGAGGGAATCCTTGAAGACACAATGGCCAAAAACCTCCCAAATTTGATGAAAATAACAATAATAATCCCCACATACAGCTCAATGGACTCCACATAGGACCAACTGACAGAGACCCACACCTCACCCATCACAGCCAAACCTCGGCAGTGTTCAGGACAAAGCTTGAGGCCAGCCAGTGTGCGGTGGGTATATGGGTGCCGCTCAAGACATGTAGCCCCAGGAAGACGGGCGAGGCTCATGACACACAGCCCGGGAAGATGGATGTAGCTCATGACACACAGCCCGGGAAGATCGATGTAGCTGATGACACACAGCCCGGGAAGACGGGCACAGCTCACGATACCGAGCCCCGGCTGACAGGGGAGGCAGTGGAGAGCCCGCCCAGCACTGAAGGAAAAGCCTATGGACCTTGAAGTCCACATCCAGGAAATGATCTCTCAAGGACGAAGGAGAAATTAAGACATTCCCACAAAAACAAAAGCTAAAAGGATTCATCACTAGCAGACCTGTCCTTCAAGAAATCCCAGAGGAAGTCCTTCGGGCTGAAACATAAGGCACCAGACTTGAATTCCCAGGAAGAAATGAGCAGCAGTAGTGCAGGTAACGACACAGGGAAAACAGCAGACAACACAACGTGGCTTTTGTTGGTAACTCCTCTTCCTCCCGATTTAAAAGACACGTGTGTAAAGGGCACAGAAAGAAAGATGTGCTTGGTACGACAATATAAGCACAAAGGGCAGATGAGGGAATGAAGCTACATTAGCAAATAATTTTGTAAGCTTTTAAAATTAAGTTGGTATTAATCCAAACCAGATTGTTAGAAGGTGCTTGCTGTAATGCTCAGGGCAAGTGCTAAGAAAATAACTCAATAAATAGCAGTCCCCTCTGTCTGCGGTTTCAGTTACCTGTGTTCAACCTCACTCTGAAAACACCATATGAAAAATTACAGAAGTAAACAACTCTTATGAGTGTTACACTGCCTGCCCCCAAGCTGAACAGGGTGAGGAAATCTGGCAGCCCAGGCCAGGGGTCATCCCTCCGTCCAGCGTTACCCACGTGGCAAGCACTACCCGCCCACAGGCAGGCATCTCGGTGATCAGACCAACTGTCACAGCATCCCAGTGCTTGTGTTCAAGTCACCCTTATTTCATTTAATAACGGCCCCAAAGTGCAAAGAGAGGTGATGCTGCAATTCAGATGTGCCAGAGACGCCACAGGGTGATTCCTTTCAGTTAAAGTCGATGACGGTGCAATTCAGACATGCCAGAGATGCTATAGGGTGATTCCTTTAAGGTAAAAGTTGATGACAGGTATGTATAGGAAAAAACAGCGTATAAGGGTTCAGAACTATTCACAATTTCAGGCACCCATTGGGGGTCTTGGAATCCTTCCCCTGTGGGTAAGGGGGACCACTGTACGGTAAAGGAAACATCGAGGAAATGAAAGTGAAAAAAGGCAGTCATGGAGGAATACAGGAACAAAAAGGGCGTAAGATGTACAGAAAACAAACATCCAGCAAGTCCTGACACCTGCCACAACGTGCGTGAACCTGGGAAACACACGAAGTGAAAGCGGTGGATGCCAAGGGCACACGCTGAGTCGATTTACGTAAGACGCCCACAGCTACGGCGAGCAGATGGCAGATCACCAGGGATGGGGCAGGAGGGAGAATGGGGAGTAACTGCTAACGAGTGGGGGGTTTCTTCTTTCTTCCTTAATTTTCCTTTTTTTTTTTTTTTTCTTTTTTTTGAGATGGAGTCTCGCTCTGCCGCCCAGGCTGGAGTGCAGTGGCTGGATCTCAGCTCACTGCAAGCTCCGCCTCCTGGGTTCACGCCATTCTCCTGCCTCAGCCTCCCGAGTGGCTGGGACTACAGGCGCCCGCCACCTCGCCCGGCTAGTTTTCTGTATTTTTTAGTAGAGACGGGGTTTCCACCGTGTCGGCCAGGATGGTCTCGATCTCCTGACCTCGTGATCCGCCCGTCTCGGCCTCCCAAAGTGCTGGGATTACAGGCTTGAGCCACCGCGCCCGGCCCATTTATTATTTTTTGAGACAACGTTTTGCTGTCGCCCAGGCTGGAGTGCAGTGGTGCGATCTCAGCTCGCTACAGCTTCAGCCTCCTGGGCTCAAGCGCTCCTCCCACCTCAGCCTTCCGAGTAGCTGGAACTACATGGGCAGGCCGACAAGCCAGGCTCATTTTTTTATTTTTAGTATTTTTTTATTTTTGGTCTTGAACTCCTGGGCTCCGGCAATCCTCTTGCCTCAGCCTCCCAAGGTGCTGGCACTATAGGCACGAGCCACTGGGGGTTTCTTTTTGAGGGGATGAAATACATTAGAATAAACTTAAGATAAGTGATGACAGATTCTCAGCAGAAAAGGTATGTTAAACAGCAGATTTAAATATTAAAACGCATGCCAAAAGGTGCCTAGAAAAAGCTGTTTTAAGACAATGAAATTATTTTGTGTTTTAACTTGGCATGTGAAAAGGTAATTGATAAAAGTAAGTTTTTTGTACCTACTTAGCAGGCAGGAAAGGACAGCACAGAGCCTGTGTCCTCAGCAGTGGGACCTGCTACTCCAGGATGGCTGGGGTGGAGTGCCGGCTCCCGCGCCCCACCCAGCAGGGCCAGCAGGGCTGAGGGCTGGGGCCCCACTGGCTTCAGGAGGAAGAAGACGTCAACATTGAGTGAGTGCCTTTCTGAAGTAACTGGGGCAAGAGTTTCAATAAACCCATGGAACCTTTGACACCAGAAATGACCTTTATTCTCCACCTTTTTCATGTGATAAGCCATGGGGAGGAAACGGATAAAGGATCGGGTGCCCCCCGTGCTGGCTTGGA